CTTTATAGGGAATTTTACAAATTTTTTGGTAATGTAAAATGGTTGACTAAATTGAATTGAAAATTATCATTTCATATTTCAATATTCCGAACAACTATGGGTAACACCTCTATTTTCCTATATAAAACAATATCTTAGTGTCATAATTTTCACACTCTAAATCAATCTCCTAAAGTATTTTTCTATTCATTTGTTCAATAGGTTATTTGTCTTTTATCTCCATCATAGGTAAATACTTCAATACTCTATGTTATTAATTTTATCATTTGTCCATTGTTTTTTTTTGATAATGTAGGAAAATATACATTTATTTGATTTCATGAATTTTACATTTAACCTAATGCAAGTAATATCGATGAAAATATAAAGCACAATTATTATTTTATCTTCAGTTCATTTATTTCAAAAGAATCCTTTTGATTATAATCCTGGTGCCAATTCAACATTAATGTCTATAATTTATGCATGAAATATTGATTCCAAAGTGCTCTTTATCATAGTGTAATGGCTGGTAGGATAGCATGGTCTGAAGAATGTACGGAGATATTGTTGGACATATGCTTGGAGATGAAAGAATTTGGATATTTAAAGCTGAATTGGGATAGAATAGTTAGTACTTTGATCGTAAAATTGAAAAACAATTCAATATCAAACTAGTAACAAATCATTGGAATGATTTGAGATGTTTTGGACAATTCAAATCTCAATGGAAAATACTCACAATGATGCCAAATATGGGCACTAAACATCAATTGGCGATTATGGTTGTTGCATTCACACTTCACAATTTTATTCGATTACATGAGTTGGAACCCATTGATAGTGGTATAGATATCGAACCAAGAGCAGATTGTGATTTGTTTAACGAGAATCGTAAGGCTGTAATGAACGAAGTAAAACTTAATATAGAGAAGGAACACTACTACAAAAATGGCAAAAGAGACCTATAATAAGAGACCTGTTGGTTAATACAGCAGGTCTCTTTGATATAAGAGACCTAATATTAGAGATAACAGGTCTCTAAAATGTCAAAGGACCCACATGAGATTTTGGGACGAAAATAAGAGACCTATTGGTTTGCTGAACGGGTCTCTTATATATGCGCATAAGGATTAAGGACCCACCACAACTAGCGTACTCTCGCCTTTTCTTTGTTTTTTTTTTAAGAAAAAAAAATTCCCTTTTTAATTCTTATTCATTTATACAGCTCATTATTAGTCATGTTCATATGAATCTCTTTTCTTGTTCCCCTTTATACGTCTCTTTCTCTTTCACCTCATCACTTGTCTCATCTCATTTCTCATTTTTATTTCTCACGAAGCAATTAACTCCTCCTCATTAACGACGCTGCATCTTCCTTCAACACCGGCGTTGCCTTCTTCTTTTAACTCAAAGTTTGAGGCTTTCAACGTCTATTATGACCATAAATACTCCAGATCTAGAGTCTTGGTCAAATTTGCCTAAATAATTCTACAATTGAATTAGTCTTAAAAAGGTATGTTTCCATATCAATTTAATTTTGAAAAGTTTTTGGGTTGTTGACAAGGTGTTTCTATGGCAATGGTTTATGGTTTGTTTGTTTCTTTTTTAAAAAAATAGGTTGCTATAGTTTAGATTGGGTAGTTTTTGGTTTTTTCGTTGGTGGCTAGTGTCTTACGGGATTGGGGTTTTTTCACAAGGGGTTGGTTTTTCACGGGGTTGGGTCGGTTTATGACGAGGTTGGGTCGGTTTATTACGAGGCCGGGATGGTTTTCACGGGGGTGAGTGTAGTTTATACGGGGGTTGGGGTGGTTTTCACGGGGGTGTGGGCGGTTTGTTAGAGGTTAAGGCTTAGGGTTGGTTTATAGGGGTTTGTTATTGATGGTATTTTCTTGGGTTTTTTTTTTAATGTTAAATTAAGTATATTATTTCCTTTGCAGTTTGCAGTTTAGGTCAATTGATTACTTTAATATTGATGATTTTTCTGGGTTTATTTTGTATAACAGATGATTTAGGTGCCCAAGAGTTGATTTATATGGTGAAGATTGCATATGGGATAATATATGATTTTATCCCCTTAATTTTGTTATTGATGTTTAAATCGTGTAAGGTTGTGTTTATGTTGTTGATGTCTAGTTTTTAACCTGAATTATAACCCTTGAAGCTTTTTTTTATTGATTCTCTTAATGGTATACAGGTTTTTAGAGGCCAGATGACCAATTCAAGAAACTTGCTTAGCTGATATATGGAGGGCTAAAGAAATTACCAAAGAGATGGTTGGATTCACTTGCCGTATAAAATTGGTGGGAATGTTGTTAGTTTTGATAACTTATTGTAAATTATTATTTCCATTAGTTATTATTTACTTGTTCCATAAATTCTCTTATACATGTAAATTATTGTTCGTATATACTTGTAAATGTTACTACTAGTAAATTCCATAATTATATAAGTTTATGTAAATTTATCTAATTTTTTGGTTTTGTAATTTTCAATTTTAGTAGAATAATTACAAAATAATAAATATATATCGTCAATTTATAATTTTTTTTTAAAAAAGAAAAATTATAAAGAGACCCGTTACCTGACAAAACAGGTCTCTTTATGGCTATCAAAGAGACCTGTTGTATGAAATAACAGGTCTCTTCCCCTTCGTAAATATATGATGTATATACATGCGAAGAGACCTGTTACCTTACATAACAGGTCTCTTATTGATAACAAAGAGACCTGTTCAGTTGAACAGGTTTCTTTAGCAAAGAGACCTGTGAGCTAGAGACCTCCTCTAAACAGGTCTCTTATGCTATTTCTAACGGGTCTCTTTGGCCTTTTTTGTAGTAGTGGAAATTTGGAACTTCTTATGATGGAAATTATATTTGTAAACATTTATGATTTGAAGCTTATAATGAAAATTTAATTATTATCGTTTATTGTTTGAACAGTAATAATAATAATAATAATAATAATAATAATAATAATAATAATAATAATAATAATAATAATAATAATAATAATAATGTTATGAAATATTGTGTGGATGCCCATTATACTCCTTGTATCATTCCAGAATATTCTAGATAGAACTAGGATTTATATATTTATTTAAGAAAACCCTAATTATATTGTATATATATACCCATTATATGGAATAAAAATACACTGATATATTCTCTATCAATCTCTCTTATATTTCTCCCTATTTTATAACAAATAATAATAATAATAATAATAATAATAATAATAATAATAATAATAATAATAATAATAATAATTTGTATTTAATTTGAAATTATCTGATCTGATCTGATCTGAACTTATTTTTTCTGATATGATATGATCTGAACTTATTTTTTCTGATCTGAACTTATTTTTCCTGATCTGAACTTATTTTTTCTGATCTGATCTGATCTGAACTTATTTTTTCTGAAATAAGTAAAAATAAGGTGAACTAAACAAGGCCTTACTATGAGTGTATGAATGCATTAAAACTGGTAGTGGACCAACTGACCAACTCAGCCAAAAGCTTAAACTGATAGTTAAGGCCTAGGAATAAGTTTTATACTCTATCACCCCCCCTTACAAAATTAATTCCATTTTGAAGAAGGGGCGGATGAGATTCGAACCAATAACCTTTTTGTCACGTTGGCTCTGATACCATGTTAAAGGACCAAGTTAACCAAAAACTTAAGTTAATGGTTGAGGCTCAGGAATATGTTTTATACAATAGCAATATTAAAATATCTATTTTCAACGACGAACAAAAAATACCCGTTTTTTTTGTTGTGAGAATTATTTTCCTCAATTGTGTGTATACTCCGTAACTAGATAATATAAAGAAAGTCATTTGGGGATCTATAAATTTGCTACGGATTAATCCGTACAATGTAGAGTAGTAGAGTCGGAGCTTCCCCCAATTAATATGACATATTAACGTTATATGTTTATATGATGACACTTTCGTTATTTTTTGAACAACACGCAATATTTTAATGTTTTCTGTCTTTGTAGCTGATATGGCAGAAACAGTCGACGTTAGTTGAAAGTGAACGCTGAATTTCAATCCCGTTTAGCGTTTAACTTGGGAATCAAAAGATCCCGTTATCGAGTCATCTGGAGAAGAGCATCAACAATCTTCCCCTTCGAAACTTCGAGCTCTTCTCCATTTTTCCTATTTCGAGCTATTCTCCTTTTTTCTCAGCGCGTGAGGGAGCGATTTACGAATTTGATAGTTGGAGTTCTCAACCCAACTTGATACTGCGTTGTTGGTGTTCCGAAGAGACAACGTAATTGGTAAATTCCACAGCTTGAAAACCCTAGTTTTTGCTAATCATTCAATTCATTTTAAATTTTGCATTTGTTGAGGTCAGATATTGCATTTGTAGTTGATAATGTATAATGTAGTTGATTTAATTGAATTTTATCCGCTATAATCGAAAATTTGAATTTGTAGTTTTCTCAAATCATTGAAGTGCCTTTGAATTTTAGAATTGTTAGATGGGTTAATGCACTTGGTGAAGAAAAGTGTGTACTGTAAAATTGGGATAATCTGTTGGTGTGTAATGTAAAGTGTGTAATGTAAAATTTAGTTGATTGGAATGCCGGCTGAAAATTTGTTGTTTTTGATAAGAAATAGGAATAACAAGAATTATGTAAGTGAGGGTTGCTGCAAGTGCTTATCTTGATTTTATTAATTGCTTGTTATTATTGATTTTGCTGCATGTGAGGAGTCATTTGTATGTTTATCAAACCTTACTCAGTGTTGGAATTATTTGGTATTTTCATTTCATGTTGGGAAATATAATAGGATTCCCCCTTCTTTTCTTGATGTTGTTGATTGCTTCTGGCATGAGGAGTCATTTGTATGTTTATGAATCCTTAGTCAGTGTTGGAATTATTTGGTATTTTCCCTTCATGTTGACTCTAGATGTCTGTAGTGTTATTACCCTTTTCATGTTGACTATATATGTCTGTATATTGCTGGTGTTGAGGAGTCAAATTGTAGGGAACTTCACTACTGATGTATGCTGCAAATTGAGCAATATATTGCAGGTGCTGTTATGGATTGTGGTTTTGAATCTGGTGAAATGGGTGAGCCTGTTGGCATATCATATAGTGATGAGGGGGGGGGGGGGCAAGTGATTTCTTCTGGAGGTGTGCCTGATGGTCTCCCCTTTCTGAACTGTATTCCTAACTCAGCTGAGAGACTAGCTGCCCTGTCACCAATTAAAACTATTGAAACGGTGGAGACCATTGTCTCAACAAATCAGATTTGCATGTACACTTATGTTGAGTCACCTAGGTTAGGGATGGTTTTCAAATCCTTTGAAGATGTAGAAAGCTACTACAAAGAGTATGCTGAGCAGAAAGGTTTTGGGGTTACCCGTGTTGCATCAACATTTTCGAAGAAGGATAAGGAGCGGAGAGGGGCCACCTGGAGGTGTGAGTGTTGGGGTCCACCTGATATGAGGGCAAGGAGGGAGGCGAAGAAAAGGGCAAAGGTAATGGAATTATGTGGCACGGGAGGGATTGTTAACGGTGAAATAGGGGAAGATATCATGCAGCGGGTGAAAAGGACCTCCAAGAAATGTGAGTGTGGTGCCATGTTATATGCCGGGGTTGATAGTGATGCGTTGTGGGTTATTAGGAAACTGAAAAATGAGCATGATAACCATACCCCTAAGCTGAGTGATGCTAAGTTGGTTAAGGAATATCGAATGAAGAATTGCACGTCGAATGTGAAGAAGAAACTTTTTAATTTCTATGAAGAAGGTGTCTATGTAAGGCAAATTCATGGGTGTATGGCTACGGAGACCGGGGCTGATAACCTTCCTAGTGTTAAGGACCTTGAGCATGAAGTATCTAAGGAAAAACGGCTGAAAATGGAAGGTGGTGATGCGGCTGCAATGATGGCATACTTTGATCGTATGCAAGAGGATAATCAGAATTTCTATCATGCACACCGCCTAGATGAAGAGGGCCGACTCAAGGATGTACTGTGGGTGGACGCCTGTAGTAGGGTGGCTTACGAAGATTTTGGGGATGTTGTTTGTTTTGATGCCACTTATCTAACTAATGCGTACGCGCTACCTTTTGCCAACTTTGTAGGGGTAAACCACCACGGCCAATCTATATTGTTGGGCTACACTCTTGTGTCACATGAAGATTGTGACACATTTGGTTGGATATTTAGGAAATGGCTTTCTTGTATGGGAAATAAACAACCCGGGGCAATTTTGACTGATCAAGCTGCCGCTATGCGCAAGCCTTTAGCTCAAGTGATGCCTAATGCTCGACATCGTTGGTGCATTTGGCACATAATGAAGAAAATCCCGGATAAGCTTGGAAAATGTGAACAATAAGTTGTCCGGATTAAGAATCCTTTGTTTTGCTGTTCCTTTGTTTGCTGCTGTTATTTTTGTTGTAACTTATGCAATAATATAACTCATAGCTGTGTACTTGTTGTAAGTTATGCCATATACCTCTGATTATTGTTCTTTGGTGTGATCATTGGTGTACTGAAGGTGATTAATGGTGTACTGAAATCTTAATAGTTGATGGTGTACTGAAATCATAACAGCTGGTGGTGGGTGGTGTACTGAAATCATAACAGCTAAACTTTACCCTTCTCTTCACTGTTATTTGCATTTTTAAAATAGTCAAGATTCATTCAGTCTGAAAATAGTCAAGATTTAATCTACCTAATTCTTTAGGTTCTTTCAGTAAAGACATGAACATCATTTTTTAAGTCTGCAACTCTTCAAAATCAGAGGTGTAAATTTTAAGACATGAACATCATTTTTTAAGTCTGAAACCCAGAGGTGATATCAAAATCATAAGGGTGCACTTTAAGATATGTTGTAACTTTTGCATGTAATAAACTTGTACATTTTTTAGATACATTTTCAATAATGTCAGTTACCTGATCATTGAATGAAATTGTGCTATGTATTGTAGTTCAAGTATGTGCCTGTGGAATGATCTGCACTACATATGTTGTTTTGAACTGCATCAGATCTAATTGATGAAGTCTGATTTGAATGTTTGGTTACCTGATAGAATTAGACAATTCTCAAGTAATTAATAAGTGTTGTAATTGATGCAGCTACCATGACTTTAAGAGCCCTCTGAAGGCTGTTGTATATGAGAGCTTTACAGTTGCTGAGTTTGAGCGTCGCTGGACAGACTTAATAAAGCAATTTGAACTAGAGGATAATGATTGGTTAGCTGATTTGTTCGAGGAAAGGCACATGTGGGTCCCAGCTTTTATGAAAGAACACTTTTTGGCCGGGATGAAGACAACACAGAGGGTCGAAAGCATAAATAGTTTCTTTGATGGGTTTGTGAACAGGAAGACTAGGCTTTACGAATTCCCTAACAAGTACACTAGGGCAATGGGGAGGCGTGTTAAAGCTGAAACTGATGCGGATGCTCGCTGTGGCAAATATTTGAGGTGACTCGTGAGTGGTTTTTATGTAGAACAATTCTTTCGGGACATCTACACTGACACCAAATTCCAAGAGATTCAAATAGAGTGTTGTAGACTTATGCATTGCTCTGGGAGGGAGGAGCGTGTGCTAGAAGGGAACGTGATTCAATATCTACTTGAAGATCGGGTCTGGATTATCCCAGAAGGGAAGATAGAAGAAGAGATAACTGATAGGAGACGATTCTACTGTGTCCTGTACAACACAGTTATGAAGGACGTGTCTTGTGATTGCTGCAAGTTCGAAACCTTTGGTATTCTTTGCAGGCATATCATTCAGGTTTATGATCAAAATAGGGTGTCTGAAATTCCTTCAAAGTATGTACTCGACAGGTGGCGCAAAGATGTCCCTCGGAAGCATAGCCGGGTTAACGTTTCCTATCACGATCAAGTACAAATTATTCTGTCCAGATTTATAGGAAACTGATGGGTGAGTTTGAGGCAATTTGTGAAGTTGCAGCATCTGCTGATGACAAGGATACAATAGATCTTGTATTTCAGTCTCTACAATCACTTTCTTTGGATGTCAAACAAAGCAGAGCGAAGTTCTTGGAAAAGCAACCTTGCCTACCCACTCTCCCAAGAACCCTGATGCCTCCATCTGAGATATGTTCAAACAGCCCTGAATCATGCCAAACACCTCTGTCGATATCAAAACCTACTGGAGTTGAAGTGAACCCTGTTGAAGTGGCTCCTGTTTTAGTGAAAGATCCTGTTAGCCGTAAAAAGCCGCGGGGACGGCCAAAGGTGTATAGGCATAAATCCCTTGCGGAGATGGGATACAAAAAGAGTGGAGCGAAAAAAGGTGAAACCGCGCAACAACCTCTTGCAAAATTACCTGTAAGTAACTTTGCAATTATATTTGTTGTTGATGTATTTGTTGTTGAAGTATGTGATGTTCTGATTTGTTTTTTGGCACTCTCACCTAGGCTAAGAGGAAAAACCCACAAGGCGTTCAGTTCCAAAACATAATTGAGAACTACTATGACTACGTTGCAGATGTTGGCGCGATTGATGAATTTGCACAACGCAATGGGGTTCAATGGGGATCTGGTGCTTCTGAAACCTTTTAGGTCGCAGCTGATGGTTAGATGACATATGATGCAGTACCGCTTCTTTTGAAACTTGAGTTTCGGGTCTTGGACAATGTTTTTCGTATTTTGTAATCCGTTTAAAACATGCTTTTGACTTACATGTTTTTATCAAACCCACAGAACCCTGTTCTGATCCTATATATTTTGTGGTTTGATATTCATTTTGCAAACATGCTTTTGACTTAGAGTATACCATGGGTGCTGTTTTTTATCAGTTAATAGGAGAATTAGGAGCATTTTCATGTTGGTTATTATTTCCCCATATTATCTCGTCTGATTTTCACATGCACTGTAGATTATATTATACATGCTTTACTAAATAATTAATACTTACAAGGTGAATGAATGTGTAGATTATAGAAATAATTAAGATTTATAAAAATAATTAATTACACTAATGATTTATAAGTTGTCGAATATTTATTAGGACAAATCATGTGTGATGGGCTTCTTTGCATGAACTCATATTCATACTGCTAATCTGGTGAAAGGACGTGTTTGCACTTAGTATTTTATTTATTTGATGTGTTTATCTCTTTAAGGCATGACTTGATTTGCAGGTGTCCTCCTACTATTAAAGTAAATAAACCAAAAATTAGGATGATTTTTGCCTAATTTTTTATATTAATATAAATGAACCAATTTCACGCCTAATTGTTAACTAACTATACTTCCAGTAATATGATTGGGCCTTACTAAACCTTAGACTTCCAATTATGGGCCTTTGGGTTTGCATACTATACTCTGTGTTAACAAACCCACCCACTTTTGGGCCGCAGAGTATCTTCACAAATAGTGGCCCACACCACAATTATTGTCCAATTCTAAACAAGCTCCCTTTAGGATGGGTTTGTTGTTTAGAATGTTGAGATCAACAACGGTAATAACTTGACTTAAAATAAAATAGCACAAATAGCATTGTCAAACCCATAATCAGTCACACAAAAGATAACAAACGTGGAGTTCAGATTTTGCAGCCACAAAATATTACAATGAAAGGAACGAATTGAAATTGAAATTGTCCAACCACTAAAAGTAGAGCTCTGCATGCTTAACTATATTACAAACAAAAGGCGTGGTGTTGCAATTACACGTTCTTCTACCTCTGACTCCAGCGACATCCCAAAAGATAATTCATCCCTCCCAACAGCATACCTATCCAACAGTAGACCTTCACACAGCAACACTCATGGATGGCTGTTTGGAGCCACAACGACTTTGTCTCCATTTTTTATTTCAGCTTCCCTGATAGTGTTGAGGGTACACAACACGATATCTTCATGATCGAAAATTACCTCAGTTGGGTCCACATTAACCCTGTCACCCCAAATGTGGAAAAGACGGCACAGCGGGGTGTCCAACTTCCCTTGAACCCAGAGTTTGATCTTCCTGCAGTGACCCGTGTTCTTGAGGTAGAACCTCTTGAATCTTGTGCAAGTGTTCACCACTCCCTCCTGCATACATTACATTTTTTAGTCAAGCAAACCAACTTCAGTACGCATTCGGATTTATAAATTATAATTTTTACTCAATTGCCATGTATTTTTACTCAATTGAGTAAATTATAATTTTTACTCAATTGCCATGTATGTTTAACAAGCACCAATATGACACAACGAGGTAAACCTTTTCTATGGGGAAAAAAAATAAACAAATTAATTTTTAAAGCATTTTATTTCAAAGCCAATATTTAACTAAATCCAAATTAATTTTATTTTTAAAAAACCAAAATAAAAAAAAATATATTACATCATCACTCCTAAAACTATCAGACAATATATGTTCAGTAAGTAATCCTATAATACTCTATTGTTTTCCATAACAAAACAACTACAAATTATATACGTCACCAGTTGATGTTGTTACATACACCAAAAAATAATATATGTCAACCGTTGCCTTATTTTTCTAAGTAATAATAATTAGATTGTAACATCTCATGAGCTGTCCTTCATTTGTTTCATTTTAATTTTCCTTTTTTTCAATGATTTTTCTAAGAAATATTTATCCGTGTTTTATCCTCTAATGTTATTGACATCATTATAATAATGTGAAACTCAACACCGATTAAACAAAGATACACAAGAAAGATGTACTCACAACATGCACAAAGATAATATTTATTGTAATCTACATAATTACAAATATAAGAAGGACTGTTACTCATCAGTGTTTAAATGCAATAATGAAATACAATCAAATACGATAATGGGTCTAATCATGCAATCACACCCAATCATGGGATTAAATACAATCACAAATCAAATGAAACAAATGACTTTTAGATAATCAGTTAAAATGATGCCATTACCTAACAATCTCACAACACATGCAATTAATTGTTAACATGCCAAATACTAAAACAGTAAAAAAGATTAAATAATGTACCTCTCCTTGTACGTAAAGTACAGTTCCGGTTTGAACACCAATTGCTAGAGGATACTCCGTAGACGGAACATAGGTTGCTCCGAGATAAAGCTTGATCTGGTTAGCTTTGACATCAATTCGAGAAGCGTAGTATTCATAGATTGCTTCGAAGGTTTCGTCAGTCCGAATGTTGTACATAACACCGATATCACCAAGAGTGTAGCTCCTTACGACGATTGAAAGCACCATAGCGTGACCATCTTCAGCTGGTACGACCTCATCCATGTCCACATCAGGCTTTTCAACCTGTTCACCCCCCTCAACATCTTCAACTGGTTGTCGAGGAGGCTGAGGTGCCGCCCTCACCACCCCCATACTTGTAGTAGGGGGGACTACAGGAGTCCCATCACTTCTTTCCACCTTAGGGTATGAGACAACTCGGAATGGTGCACCTCGAGGTGCCTCAAAATGAGTGACCATAACCTCATGCGGGGGTGCAGGAGCGTCAGGTGCCGGACCGACAGTCGGAGATGGAGGAGCTGTAGCCACAGTAGTCGTAGCTACAGCCGTAGCTACAGCCAGAGCTTGAGGAGCCGTAGCTTCAGCCGCAGCTATAGCTAAAGGCGGAGGTGGAGGAGCCGTAGCGACAGCTAAAGGCAGAGGTGGAGGAGCCATATCTACCATCATATCTGCTACAGTGGGTATAACAGAAACAGTACTCGGACCCGCTCCACCCAAGGCCACCGGAACATGAGTTACTCGTGGCTGGTCATTACGGAAAGGTGGTATATCCATGTTGGCAATAATGTGAGCAATGAGGGCGTTACGACGTTTGTTTTTCGCACTTTAATTTCTTGGTTTGATGGGTTGTGGGATTCCCGGACGACGTCCACCACCGTTGGACCCATCACCACCGTTACCGTTAGAGCCACCATTTGCGGTTGCCATTTTTTTTAATTTGTTTTTTTGTGTGTTGAGGCTTTGTTAGGGTTTTGCAGTACGTGTTGGTAGAGTATATATAGTGCGGGAAAAGAAAGTACACCTGATGACATGGCATAAGTTCATTAGTTTTTGTTTAATATGTAGTCGTAGTTTATGTCAATATATTTTGAAATTTATTTCTACAATGTAATTCCTAATGACAATGTACATAGTAATCCTTAGTGTCAATGTGTTTTTGATGGTTGGGGAGTTTTCATTTCCAAAAAATGGTTGTTCAAACCTTGTAAATTGTTATTGTCAACATAAAAAGTCACCCTTTATGAGCGATTAATGTGATGTATATAGATTAAATTGATTGCTCTCTTGAAACAGTTTTATGTTAAAATCGTCTCCCTTAAAAATGAAGATTTATTAATGAGAACTAAATAATCCCACAATGTGCTTGTGGTAGAGATTACTATGATATCAAGGCGAGACTTCATCACTTCATATGTAGGCATTATATTACATATAAAATTTACATCGATTTTAAAAAAGAGATTGAGTTAATTTCAAGTTTATTCATACTGATGTTACTAGTTTATTACGAAGTGACGGAGATTATAAAAGTTAAGTGTATTAATGAATTATTATTGTTTTACTATCACATTATTAGCTGCTTCTTATTCAATCATCTAATTGATGTGTCATAATCATGATTTGATGAGTTATTGTGAGATCAAAATTACATTTTGATTTATAGACAGTACGGTTTATAAACGGTTCGGTACAAACGGGTTGCAGTTTGTTAACGGTTCGGTTTGATATCAGTTCGGTTTAATATTGGTTCGGTTTGTTCACTGGTTTGGTTCTTGTTCGGTTTGACATTATTTGGATCAATTCTTTTACGGTTCTACTTAAATACGGTTCGGGTCGGTTTTCGGTATAACAAAATCGGTTTTTAATCGTTTCGGTTCTCATTTGGGGTCGGTTGGTTTCGGGTAGTTATACGGTTTCGGTTTGAAATTTGACAGCACTAACTATAATATTTAAAAAATGATCAACACATCTAATTTTTTTCAAATTAATAAGTCATAACCCTTGATATGGCAATGAAAATATTCCCAAATTGCCATGATCAACTCGTCCTTAATGTGCGATTAATGTGATAATTGTCTTGCACTGATATCTCTAAAACTCGAAACCCTTAATAATGACAATAATGATAATAGAAACAATAATCAACCTTGTCGTGTTTTTTAATCAATTTACATAATCACACATAATGTGCAATTAATGTGATGACTCTCTTTCATTGATATATCTTTAAAACCCGTAGTCCTTGATAAGGGCAATTAATGATATTATTAAAATGATCAACCTTGTCATCTTTTTCATTAAAATTAATAAAAACACACATAATTGTGCGATTAATGTGACTACTATCTCGCACGGATATCTCTAAAACTCGTACCCCATTATTACGGCAATAATATTAGTGTTAAAGTACAACTTAGTATTAATGTGATAACTCTCTTTATTTCATTGATTAATCTTAAACTCATCTCCCTTAAAAAAGACATGAATGTTATTCAAATCATCAACCCTTGTGATTTTTTTGAAATACTAATTCATACCTCACTTGCGTGCATTGAAAATATAGATAAATGTGAATAGTCTATTTGTTTAATTACTCGAAAACTCGTCTCCCTTAATAATGCCAATAATAATATTACAATAACAACAACCTTGTCAATTTTTTGTGTCCGATATTCAAAGTAAACCCTACATTTTTCCTTGCGACCATACACATGAATTCATACACATGAATTTTTGGCTAGAATTTTTGGCATAATTTTAAATGAGAGTTAATATAAGTAAGACAAGTACAATTTCAATACCACATTTAAAATTTTTCTTGTGTTAAAATTTTAATGAGGGTACTTGTACAATTTTATACATAACGTTACATAAATCAGGATTGGGGGTAGGTTATAAGATTTTAGACAGTAGGGGGTATGATTTTTCCTGCACTGCTGCAATGGTTTACCAAACCATAGTCTGCAACAACTGAAGCTAACGCATGCTCCTTAAAATAAGGTCGTCCAGCCAAAAATGTCCTTGGTTTTCTCTACGTATTTAACCTACCATGTATTGTCCAGCGGTTCATAGGTGTGCTGTCAATCCAAGTAAGACAAGTACAGACTCATTGGAGGCATAACCCTAGTACAACGACGAATTTACCCTATTCGTCTTTACTAATATTTTTTTACTTTTTTTCATGACATCTTATCAACCATACTAATAACCATTTTGGTGTAAGAGAAAAGGAACGTTGTGTCAAAGTTAAACAAATGTTGATAAGGGAAGTAAAATAAAAAAAAAAATTAAAAATTTAAAATTAAGTTATGTTCGAAATTCCAGGTTTCAATTTTTAACCTTTTGTTCACAGTGTTAATTTAAAAGTCTCACATTTTATTTTATCGGGTAATAACCTTATCATAAGACGAGGATTTGCACTACATCCATATAAGCGATTTAAGTATTTTTCTTTTTGGAATATTAGCTTCAAGTAATTAACTTGATCGATTATTAATATAGATTCAGTAACATGACTTTATTTTATTAAACTAATACACATTCTCAATAATGAAATTGTTATTTCTGCTAACCCACTTTAATTTTTATAGTATAACATGAATTAATTTAATTTACAAGGTTTGATCAATCATTTGTTTGAAATGATAAACTCCCCAACCATCAACTCTGTTACTGATATCTCTACAACAGGATATTTGTTTTCTTTTCTTATACGCGTTGAAATAACTTGAAAAAAAATGGTTATCTACATCAACGTAGATTCGAATCGCAAATCTTCTGTAGAAGACCATCACTCCATTTGATCCAGTTTCAGGAGTACACTACTGTCAAACTTCTCTTTCACAACACATAAAGGTGTTGTCATCTAGTATTCAACTTGTATTGTCACATCCACATGGGTTAGAAATGTTGTAACTACAGAAGAAAACTACATCTACCTATGACACCACATTAAATGAAGAAGTACTATGTTATGTAATATAATTTAAACGTTTTGTTCTTTTACTAACTTGTCCTATTCTTTTTTTTTTTCAATGTAGGAGGGTTTAGGGTTAAATGGTTTACTATATTTTATAATACAATATATTGTTTTTGTCCTTTTACGTTTTTTTTTATTTATAAAGCATAATTTAGGGTTATGGGTGTATGAGTATTCGAATACTTTAGGGTTAAGGGTTTTAGAATTGATGGAGTATGACGATTTATTGTTTTATATTTTATAATATAATTTAATATTTAATCAGGGGTTGATGATATGTGTTAATGTTAAAGGGATGACTATTTCTGATGGAATAATTGAGTGTATGCTATATCTGCTACGGTGTAACGGGATTGATCAATCTGGAAGGTATCATCTTTAAGGTGTGGTTCAATCTCATGGTTTAGTGTTAAAGGGTTCTATTGAATTGGATTGTTTAGGATTTAGGGTTTAGGATTTAGTGTTTGATAGAAATTTGGAGGGTAAAAAGGTTTGGTCGAATGGGAGGGTTTAGGCTTTAGGGTTGAGGATTTATCAAAGTTTTAGGGCTTAGAATTTGATATAATTGAAAGGGTTTAGTGTTTGATCGAATAAGAGGGTTTAGGCGTTAGGGTTTAGAATTTGATCGAATTGGAAGGGTCAACGACTTTTTTCTAGCTGGAGGGTTTAGATTTGAGAGAATTATAACGGTTTACGGTTTAGTCGAAATGGAGGGTTTAGGCTTTAGGGTTTGGGTTTTGATCATAGTGAAGGGCAAGGTGGTTTGATCTAATTGGATGGTTTACTTTTTAAGGCTTAGAATTTGATATAATTGAAAGGGTTTAGTGTTTGATCGAATAGGAGGGTTTAGGCGTTAGGGTTTAGAATTTGATCGAATTGGAAGGGTCAACGACTTTTTTCTAACTGGAGGGTTTAAATTTGAGAGAATTATAAGGGTTTACGGTTTAGTCGAAATGGAGGTTTAGGCTTTAGGGATTGGAGGGTTTAGTGTTTGATCGAATAGGAGGGTTTAGGCTTTAGGGTTTTGGGTTTTATCGAGTTGGAGGGGTTTAGGATTTTGTTTTAAAGGTTTAGGTGATTTGATTACAATATTTATTATTCTCTTTCACTCAAATTATCTAGCTTAATACAGGATCTAGCTTAATACGTGCTAAGCATAACGAACCATTAACGCACAAACGATATAATTGGAGGTATTAAATCAACGATATAATTAAAGGTATTAAATCTTGATTAATAAGGTTTTAGGATTACCTATTTTATTTGAAAGATTAAGCTTGCATACATGAATTGCACGTACTTCGATGATATGATTATTAGAGGGTTCAAAATCAACGATTGAATTAGTAACCATAAATTTATTTATAATTTCAAACAAATAACTAGTACGTACTGATTACTAATAAAATCACCATGACTCTACTAGCATTTCGAATGTGATAACTATAGCATTTCGAATGTCATAATTACACCCAACTAAATTTTCTAATAGGACAAAAAAAATTGATCTACTCAGTCCATTGTTCTGACAGATTCGAAGTTGTGTTAAAGTATTTTATCCAACGATTTTCTTGTACGAGAAAAGAGCTTCCCCCTACTCAACAATATTTCCTGAAAATCTTTCCCCCTACTCAACAATATTTCCTCAACAATATTTTGTTAAACTCAACAATGGAGTACGGTGAAAAACAAGCTCCCAATTCAGCCACCTCGAGTAGGAAGCGATGCCTACCTAAAGCCACAGTACTCCACCCATTCTCCCCCATCATGTATTTTAAACCTTTTACCCCAAAACCGTCACCCAAGCTTGATTTTAACAAAATCACGTATTACACCAACCAAAAAGACTTAAACGAGGGCAAAAAAATTGATGATGCTGTTATTCGTAAGGAGCTAGCTATGAATGATGTACAGCGTTACGCGAATTCTACTGTTATGAGGATGATGATGCTACCGGGAGGTGAACAAAAACCAGCCTACCTACCTCTTCTTTCTGACATCCATGGATACTTCCAACACCAGGGAGTGGAAGTGTTTGTTGAATGGATGTTCAAGCATCACTCTTTTGAAAAAGGTGAGGTTGTTCCAAAAGATGTTGTACCAATATTTGATCTTGTTCCTACCCTTGATGAAGAATCCACCATCACATATGCTTTACCTCTCCGAGAAAAGCATGTATTCATTGGGGCAAAAACAAACGCGCTGCATGTTATGAAAATTGAAGCACAAATGCCGGCTATTCAACTTATTGTACTCTCCGGAGTCACCAAGAAAAATGGTATACATTACCATCGTTTGACCGTATGTGGTGACTTGCCTGCTCACCCAAAGCAACCCGTATTCGAGGAAGGGTCAGTTGTGTTGTACTGGAATGCAAAGGATGTCCTTAGGCTATCATTCGTTGACAATTTCCGCACTCTCTATGACGCGTACAACCCGGTGTTGGTGATAATTATAGAAGCTCGACCACGACACCTTCAAGTGTGGGAGTTAATCTTGAAATTGCCTGGCGCATATCAGTATGAGACAACGGGTCATGCCACTGTTGGAGGGATTGTTCTGCTGTGGAACAAGTTTGCTACGCCATTTTTCAGACCAAGGAGGTCATGCTTGACTGGGGATGTGCTCAACGTCGAAATTGTGGTAACTTACTTAACTTAATTGCAAGAATTTTACTTAATTATTTCGACTATTCCTGCACATTACACTACTATTAAGTCCTTATATTTTTAATGGAATTAATTCACCGTAATTATGTCTTTGATTCATGTTTAGAATTAAAAGTGAATTACTTGTTAATTACCTTAGTAATATCGTATTCATGTCAATTAAAGGGGATATTATTAAGGAAAAATAATCGAATATCCGAATAATTTCTTGTTAATTATCTTAGTAATATCGTATTGATATCTTGTACTTAAATAAAAAGATAATTATTAGCTATATTGTTGGTACTTTCTCTTAGGCAAGTATGATAAAATTTGGTGAATGCATAAATCATAAATCAAAGATTTGATTTCAAATTATCTTAAGAGAAATTAAAAGTTAAATAAATCGTGTTTAGCATTGATTTAGTCGAATACTGTTGGCTAATAAATTAAATAAATTAAGGAAATAAATTGGCACAGTAAACAAGCCAATTAAAATTGGTACAGTAAACAAGCCAATATTGTTAATTAAATAAATTAAGGAAATAAATTGGTACAGTAAACAAGCCAATTAAAATTGTACATTGTAGTTTCATTGATTAAGTCGAATACTGTTAAGGAAAGAAATTATTAACACAATAAAAATACCAATATTGTTAAGTAAATGTTGATGCTTATTTTAGATGTAAAATTGTACTAAGTATCATTATTGGAATGTCTGTAAATTAGTAGTGCAATTTTCTATGAGATTGTATATTGTAAGATTTATTTAATAAATGTGGAGATTACTTGTACTTAATTTGAATTTGAGTACATGTTATTATTGTGTTCAAGTCACTAAAATGTACAATTCTGGTAATATTAATTACTATTAGGGTTATAAATCTACTTAACTAATTGCCTACTTTTGTATTTGTAACATAAAATAAGTCGGGTCCCGCAACTGATCCAAATCTTTGGTGCAACACAGTGAGTGATAGCGAAGGTCGCCCCGAGGATGAGAGTGATGACGATTACGATTACATTGGGGCATGGTTAGTCAATTCTGGCCTCGATGATGACCCTTCAATCCATGATGAAGGTTGGTGCTAAATGAAGACAAGGGCTGGTGTTGGATCGAAGGAATGTTAGGATAACTAAAAAATGTTATCATAGACATTAACGTATCTTGAACTTATAGTTGTGTGTCTTGCTTGCTAAAACTTAATGTTGTGTGTCTTGCTTGCTAAAACTTAATGTTGTGTGTCCTCCTTGCTAAAACTGCTAAAACTTAATGTTGTGTGTCTTGTTTGCTAAAACTATTGTGTACTTCCTTTTGGAGAGTGTGTAAAGAATTTTTTTTTAAAATGGGGGTAATTAATTTTGACCAACTGTGTGAAAAAAATTCCGCATTTTCGTAAGTGAAATCCACATTTTAATGTGTTACTAAATTTTGTTAGTAATATTTGATTACCTCGTAAATTAAGGTATAATTTGAAACCCTCGTAGTAGTCATTTTCGTAAAATGTGGTTATCGATTTTTTAACAACTAAAATAATTTGAATCCCTCGTAGTACTCATTTTCGTAAAATGTGGTTATCGATTTTTTAACAACTAAAATAATTTGAAACCCCTCGTAGTAGTCATTTTTGTATAATGTGGTTATCGATTTTTTAACAACTAAAATAATTTGAATCCCTCGTAGTACTCATTTTCGTAAAATGTGGTTATCGATTTTTTAACAACTAAAATAATTTGAAACCCTCGTAGTAGTCATTTTCGTAAATGAATATATCAAATTTATATCAAATCACATAACAAGTAGCTTTTTGCTTTTGCCACAAAATAAGGTTAAAAGATAAGAGTTTTCCAAAAATGTAGACTTGACATGTTGTTTTGTTTTTAATGCTCTCGAAGGAATTAAAAAAAAATTTCACTCAAATTACCCGCCATTCACCTACATGACACTCCCTCCAAATTGCAAGTCCCCGCCAAATTTATGCAGGGTTCTCTCATGTAGTGTATATATATGGTGAACTTCTTATACCCTCCTCCCAAGCAACCCCAAAAAATGGCCAAAAAGAAAATGTTAATCCCAGTCTCTATGATTAAGCCACTCCAAAAAAACCTTGTAACAAAGAGTTCCTACTCAAACCGATGACACAAATTAAAAAAACAAAGGGTTTGCATATGGTTCGCCCTTGTACACCCAACACAACGACAATTGTAAGGCGTCGAAAAGGTGTGCTTGGCGTCATTAACAGCCTAATTGTTACTTCGGATGGGAAGGTTGCAATATCCTTACTTGATGCGGCAACTGCAGCACAAGTAATCGCCGGTAAGACTAAGCTTCAAGGAGATCTCATTGTGATCACTCCCTCTAATAAGGTTAGTCCTGCTCACTTACCGGACTTATCAGACCTTGCTTTATTACCAAAGTCGGCCAAGTATTTTCTCAAGTGGCTCATCTGTACCGAAGGTAGGAAGGAAGGGTGTGGTTATGAACATGTGCTACCAAATGGTGTGGTGGAGGTGGTTGATCCGCCATCAGAATTACCATCTACCATCGAAAGTTGTCATTTGTCTCTCGGTGATCATGTTATGACGATACCGAGTTACAGAAATGACTTCAAAATTTTCACTCTCCAACATCCGATGTATGTCTCGCACATACATTTAATGAGTAGCACCAACACCTCTAACATATTAGATGGAAGAAAAATAGAGATTAAGGTGCAAGTCTGTGTGAATGAGGATGTCAGTTTTTGGAGGGAAGTGAGCACAATGGGATTAAGGTACGTTGTATGGAATTGTCGTGATATGGGTAGAGACACATTCCTTCCCTTAATGAGGTTGGTAATGGAGTTGCATCTGCCTCATTTCATGATCTTAACTGAAACAAGAGTTTCGGTTCATATGGCACGCCTCATATGTGCGTATTTGCACCCTTATGCCGTGTATGGAATGTCAAAGAACGACTATGAGGGAGGTTATGTAATGCTTGCCTTTACTAAGAATATGTCATTGAAACTGATAAGCTCATTTCCTAATGAGTATTGTTGGGCTTTTGATAAGCACAATTAACGTACTCTGTGGAAGTGACAGTAAGAAGTGGATGTGCTCTTAAGAGTTGTAATATTCAATATTCCATCAAAATTACTCTGAGTAGTAATGTTTAATATGTATTCAAACTTTAATGCATAATTTAGTAATTACTTATGAGTTGTTCATTTCACAAACCCACCCCTTCCTTTGCTGGTCTAACTTTTGACATATTCTACCAAACGACTCTACGCGACAACTTGTATTAGCTGGCTGTAAGCATGAACAATTACAAACAACAGGTTTCATTGTAACGGTTACCATTACTGCTAACAACTCACTCACCCCTCCATAAATATGGAATTAAGGACTTACCCTAGATGTTGCCTTCGCATGTCTTTGCAACACTTCGCCTTTCCTTTTCACACAGCCGCCCAGAGTTAAAGAATCATCCTACAACATCAAGCCACTAAATAAGCCCCATTACCAAATTAAGTTCCAACTACCAAATACAATCTACTTATTACCTTGAATAACTCAGGAGAAAGCTTCTTCAGGGTAGGTCCTCGTCCTACTCCATCCTAAAATGATAATTAATTTGAGAATATCTACACAAACTGTAGGGTAAATCTGGTCTACTCCTGTTTCAGATTTGTGTGCAAAAATTATACCTCATCATCACTCCGGGTGCTGCACGTTTTACGCTTCCTGTACCCTCCCTCCATTTCCGCTTTAGAACTGTTAGTTCAATTCAATTCACAATTACTAATGTAAATAACCATGGCAATTCAATGTACAAATTCAGCAATTTGTTCAAATCAATTCACATTTCTTATCATCGCAATCAAATGTGTTTCCTGTTTGTTCAACTCAATTCAGTGTACAGTTCTATTAATAATTACAAAGCCCAATTTCATGCCCGATTCAACCCACAATAACTATACGAACCTATGACAATTAACACAACTTAATCTCACAACTATACAGCAACATCAATGCGATTTGAAAACAACAACAATTACACAACTTAATCATCTCAACCTACAATCACAAATATACAGCAACATCGATGCGATTTGAAAGCAACAACAATTCGATCCCCCACTTCATATGAACTATTCAGGCGAAAGTAACACTTACCTTCTATAACCCTAGCCGTATTGCTCGCATACTACAACATCCTCTTGGTTGATTGCCAGCACAGTACAAGTACCAGTACCTCCGTAGTCACTCTCTATGAACTGATTTCAAACGCTTATTGGGGCAAGCTAAAATGACAGTCGGATTGATATCAATTAAATAAAACGGGATTTTATTTTCATCAACGGCACGGGCTATACTGTAACAGTGTTTTTGGAACAACAACATAATCCCGTCGACGTTAACGTTCGTTAACGCCCAGTTACCATCCATTGTCCGCGTGACAATTTTACCCTTACTGAAATAGGCGAAAAGACATTCACACCCCCTTATAAACAAGTTTTGTTTATAGGCCATATTAACCAGTATTTTCTCGTAGAGTCGATCCTCATCATTTGTATCAGACCAATCATTGAACATAGACAAATTTGGTCATTTTAGTTTGTTTTATCACCCAAAAAAAGGGTACATTTTACCATAAATTTGTGTGTGAATTTTGAACATTAAAAAGGAGGAAAAAAAATTTATGTTGAAAAAGAGGTTTTTTTTTTTTTTTGAATAGTAAAAAGAAGACAACAACCCATTTACATCTAATTTAAAATTAATTAGATTAGAAAGGTTGGGTATATCCGTCCTTGCCCATTGCTAAGTTATCATGAAATGAAGAGTACATATCAAACTATCAAAGGGCTAAATAAGTATAATAACTTTTTTGTTTATACCTATTCTATTCAATTCCATATCTCCTTATCAATTTTCTTGTTGGAGAAAGAATAAATTCATTGCACGTAGAGAAAGTTAAAGCGTAAAGGCTAGGAAATACTACGTTAAACTTACTAGTTCTAACTACGTTACTATTAAACTACAGTACTAAGCTACTATTATGTAGGAGAATAACTAGCCTTAATAATTGACTAATTTAATTAAATACTACTAACATCTTTTAACAGGTCTTCCCTCTGGAAAACTTTATGTAGGAATTTTGAGATAACTATATTGCTTGTGGATTGCGGTTATAGTAACTAACAACTGTGACGTATGGAAAATTATTATTTTTAACCATTTACAGTGAATGAAGCTCCAACAAGTAATACTACCTTATGTTGGCTAAGCATGCATGATGGTGATGATGCTCCTCGAACATGCAATTCTCTTTGTAGTCAAGTTTATTAATCGATGACCTATTTTGAGGGCAACGAACGGTTCTCAAATGGGTTCCCAAATTAACACGACTAAAAAAAGTGATTTAATTTGTTGGTTTACACGTAACTATAAACGTAATGTACATCAATATATGAGCCAAAAATGAAATATTTGCATAAAAGACCTCTAAGTAATTGACTTTGTAAGAAATGGAATTTAAATGTCATGCGATTTTACCTACACAACTATTAAAATTATTGCAACGAGAACGACTAAGTTAAGACTTAAGAAGGCCATGGACTTAAGAGGGCTATTTCTTTCAAGCATAGTTAAAAAGCCTGTCACATAGCTTAATCATCAAGCTTAACCTACAACTATATATGCTAGTTATCTTTGGCTAGTTATCTATCGATTACTTTCTACTTTTGTCAATGCAAATTAAATCATGCCAACTACAACTGTTGTCAGATTATTTTCTTAGGCTAGTTATCCATCTATTTTTGTCAACTTTCGTCAAATTAAATCATGTCATCTTTAGTTTACTCACGAATTGAATATGCTGAATTGCTAGCCACTTGTGCTAATCATCGTGGTATAAGCAAGGCATCAAAAACAGTATTTGTGCAATTGAAGATTGGCAATTATATATTACGATCGAGTTTATTTCATGAGACATTGCATTATTATTTCTCGTTTAAACAAACACACACGATTTTCATTGAAAATCCTACATATTGGTGTTATTTAGCTGCTTGGATCGTCACAAGTGAGTTATTCTACTATTATTTTGACTTAATTTGTTTGATTTGTATATTGCTCCATTAATTAATTGTATGATTCCCCATATTATTTTATGAACTTATTTATGTGGATAATATTGTTGTATAACATGTTTGAAAAATAAAATAATATTAAAGCTATTTAATATAAGGTAAGATGAGAAAATTTTTTAATATAAGTTCAACATAAATAAGCAGGAAAACATAACCCAAGTCATTTGTTAAATTTTCTTTAATTTTACTCTTTTTCCTTGTAATTTATTGTTATTTCCTCTGATCCGTCAATTTTACTTTCCTTCGAATGTATTTTAAAAGTTGATTATGTAAAACTATAAATGTATTTTAAAAGGTAATATGCGTAGTATATAGAACTAGTTTTGATCTGAGTTGTTTCTTTTTGATAAACCGCAGAAGCATGGATATACACATTGAACAATGCCAATCATTAGCAACAACTAGGCTATGTGACGCAGCACTTTTAGGAAACGTGCGTTTGTTACTCGACTTGCTTGAAGAAGATCCACTTATCCTCGAAAGATGCATCATTGAAATATCAGGCAACTTCAGGCAATCCCCGTTACATGTTGCTGTTGCTAAGGGACATCGTAAGTTCGTAGACGAACTTTTACGTCGTGAGCCGGAACTTCTCTATTTCTCAGTGAGAAATGAAATTTGTTATTATTTTAATGAAAGTAAGGAATGTGAGAGGATCATTACAGGAAATTCTCTATTTCTCATAGTGAGAAACGAAATTTGTCTCTCATGAGGCATCCTCGGTTATTATCGTTAATGGTCAAAATGACCCCAAAAAACATTAATCGAGCAATTTTTTTAGCTTGAAAATTGAGAAATCATATATTTATTACACTAGTAGAAAAAAGCAAAAAGGCACCGCTCAATGGCCACCGGTTTTAAAAAACCGGTGGCAAAAATAGGGGAAAAAATGGGCGGGATTTTGAGGGATTAGTATTGCCACCGGTTCGGTTCGAACCGGTGGGAAAAATATTAATCCCACCGGTTCAAACCGGTGGCTTTGTTAAAAAAAAAACCCGACCTTTTCTAAAACCCACCCCTTTTGTTCCTTCCTATTTATTAACCCCTTTTACCAAACCCTAGCCCCCTCATCTTCTCTCTCCTCCCTTTTTCTTTCTGAAATTATCTCTCCTCACTCTTCACTCCTCACAGCTCCTCCATACCCATAACTCATCTTCGTTCTCAACTCAGTCCACTTCATTCTCTTTTCTCTCGTCCCCTCATCCCCTATGCTCTTCCTCTCTTATCTCGCTCGCCTCCTCCCTCCTCTTCACCTCTTTTGAAAACCACCGCCGCCGCCACTAACTTTCGCCGCCTTAGGTTTTCTGGTCAAATTCGATCATGAAAACTCTAGATCTAGAGTTTTCATGGTCGAATTTGACCTTTATAACCCAAATTCTAGATAATTTTGGGGGTTTTTGGTGAAATTCGAGGTAATTTCTCTTTTTTCTTACTTTTATTTTGTTTTTTGTTTTTTTGGTGGAATTCGTGGGTTGTGGTGGTGGTTGTGGTTACGGTGGGTGGGTTTTGTTATTTATGATGGAGTTTGAAATTGATTTTCTGGGTTTTAAAATTTAATTTATTTCGAAATTTTTTTGTAGTTAATTGATTTTTCGAAATTTTTCTGAATTTAAGTGATTTCGAAATTTTTCTGGGTTTAATTGATTTTCTAAATTTTTGGGGTTAATTGATTTTCAAAATATTTGGATCGTTTTTTGTCTAGGTACATGCATGAGTTCGTGAACTATTCTGGGTTTGTGAAATATGTAGGTCTTAATTGATGCATCAAGATTCAAGACATGCAACAAGATTCAAGACTTTGATTTTGAAAAATTGTTTTAGATGTATTTTATTTATTTATTATTTTTTATTGTAAAATAATTTAAAGTTGAATTTCATTGTTTGATTATAATTCAATGTAATTTTTTAATTTTTTTTTAGTATTGTACAATAACAATTTACAATAACAATTCTTTTGCGCTCATGTGATGTTATTTGCCTTACATGGATTGTTTTTATATTATAGTATTAGTATTATAATTGCAGCAGAAAAGAAAAAGGAAAAAAAAATTACAACCTGTTATTGCCACCGGTTAACCGGTGGCAAAAATGTTTAATACCAAAAAAAAAAAAATCCGCCAATTGTAATTAATCGGTGGCTTTTGCATCAAATTATTGCCACCCACTACTAGAAAATAGCTTAATTCCGACGGACCCAATATTCCGTCGGAAAAAGGGAAATTTACGACGGATTTTTTTTCGTCGGAAATTTCCGACGAATTCATCGATTCCGTCGAAAATCCGTCGGAAATTTCCGACGGAATAAAAGTCCGTCGTAATTTTTGTATGTTCCGACAGAATTTTCCGTCGGAAATTACCTTTTCCGACGGATTTATAGTCCGTCGTAAGTTTCCGACGGAATATTCCGTCGGAACATAATTTATTTTTTTTAAAAAAAACCATTTCCGCTACAAAACCCTAAACAAACTTCAAGAAGAGCCTCTTTTCTCTTCTCCTCTCCACTCTTTCTCTTCTCCATTCCTCTGCTTCTCTCTCCTCTCGTTCTCCTCTCTGCTTCTCCCTCTTATCTTCTTCTCTCTACTCTCGTTCTCCTTTCCTCTGTTTCTCTCTGTTCTCTCTCCTCTCGTTCTCCCTCCTCTCGTTCTCCTTTCGACCACCACACCACGACATCAACAACAACACAACCACCGTCATCAAACACCACGTCATCAACAACAACACAACCACCATCATCAAACACCACCGGCATCAACGACCAACACACAAACGACATCAACCAACTACTTGAAAGGTTTTTTAGGCCAAATTCGGCCATAAAAAGTTTAGATCTACACTTTTCATGGCCGAATTTGGCCTTGTTAAACCGTTTTCGTTTGAAATTCGAAGCATATTTCAATTTCAGGTATGTTTTATGTTTTATTTTTTCGATTTTTGTTTCCGTTTATTTTTTTTCTTTAAATATGGATTTCGGTGGTGGTGGTGGGTGTGGCTGATGTGCGTGCGTTTAGCATTTGCAGTGGTTTCTGGTGGCTGTGAGATCTGGGCTTAGGTGGGGTCGGGTTCGGTCGGGTCCGGGTTAGGGTTTGGGTGTTTAGGTGGGTGGATCTGGGTATGGGTGAGGGTGGGGTATGGGTGTTTTGGTTAGAGTTCGGTCAGGGTGAGGGTAAAGTGGTGGTGGTGCTGTGGATAGGTTAGGGTGGTTGTGGTGGTGGTGCTGTGGATCTGGGTACGGGTGGGGGTGGTGTTGTGGATAGGTTAGGGTTAGGAAGTGGGTGTGGTTGGGGTTGACAGGGGTGTTTTGGGTGGTCGGAGGTTGTCGATGGGTGGTTGATCTGGTGGTTATCGGTGGTAGATGTGGTGGTTGTGGGTGGTTGGGGTGGTTATGGATGACGGTGGTGGTCTGCTAGGGCTAAGTTGTAGGTGGGTAGTGGGGTGGTGGATCTGGTGTAGGTGGTTGGTGGGTAAGGTTCTGGTGTGGTTGGCTGGTTGTGTGAGGTGGTGTGGGGTGACGGCTTGCGGTGGTACAGCGTGGCGGTGGCCTTTTTTTGTTTTTTTTAAAGCATTTTCCGATGGAAATTCCGTCGAGAATTTACGACGGAATTCAATTCCGTCGAAATTTTCTGAGGGACTTTGCCGGGCTTGAAAATACTCTCGGCGGACTGAAATCCGTCGGAAATTCCGTCGGAAAACCCATTTACGACGGAAATTCCGTCGGAAAAGGGTGTTTTTCCGACAACAACTTTTCCGACAACCGGTTACGACGGAATTCCGTCGTAAATGGGTTTTCCGACGGAAAACAAGGTGTTTCCGACGAAAATTTTCCGTCGTAATTAACATGTTTTCTAGTAGTGACCCCCCAAATGACCACCGGTTCAAAACCGGTGGCATAGGGGGGTTTTGAACCGGTGGCTAATTGCTTTTTTCTACTAGTGTTATGTGTCTCCCATGTATCTGTCTATGTCGGATTCCAATGGTCAACTCCCACTTTTTAACCACAAGGTCTCTTCTTACAATAAAAATCGCTTATTATTATTTTTTTAATAAGAAAGTGAACATAAAAGCCTTTATTTTTTACAATAAAAATATTGACGGTTTAAGATGTGGTTTGTAGAACTTAACATTTCAATTGGGTTTAATTTTGAGACAGAGTGAGTACCACCACTCTACTTGGTTGAGAGATGCTTCATCTCCGAGTTTTAACAATTGTATTAAAATAACATGATATGAATGCAGATGGTAGAATTTTTAAGTGGATACCAAGGGTTGAACAAAAACGCTATAAACATAAACAAAATGACGGCCGTAGATATTAACAGAAATCAAACTTTGAGCAAAAAATCTGAAAGTCAAAATGTTGAGCAATTCCTAAAGCATGCCAAGGCAAGACGAGCCAAGACAGTACTGAAGCATCAAGCGGATGGTACTTGGTTAGAGGAGCAACGAGCCTCGTTGATGGTGGTAGCATCTTTGATAGCAACAATGGCTTTCCAAGTCGGGATTAATCCTCCTGGGGGCGTTTGGCAGGGAGATAAGATGTTTTGGAGTGACAATAGTTTTGGGACGAATCACACCCTCTTTGCTGGTGCCGCGGTATGGACATATAATGATTCTTATGATTGGTTACTATTTAGCAACACAGCAGGACTAATATCATCACTAACTGTCATTCTTCTCCTTATTAGCGGCCTTCCATTTAAGCGACATTTTTTGTTGATTTTGCGGATAACCTTGTGGATTGCTGTCACTGCGACGTCTTTTACTTACTACTTCGCCACCCGCCTCCTTGATGGACCTCAATCGGGAGGAAGAGGTTGGATTTCATATACATTCTCTCTTATTGCTTGGGTTGGGGTGATGGTTTTCTTTCTCTTTGGACATTTTGTGCGATTCATACTCAAGTTGATTGGTTGGCAAAAGAGACAATCACTTAAAGATTTCTGCAAGAGGTGTTTTCCTTGGTCAACTAACACTTTTGATAACTCTAATTCGACCAACCATGTTTAATGGTCATTAATTCTCTAATACTTGTACTTGTAGACTATAGTAGTTTTATTTTATTTTATTTATTTATTTTTTAAGGTAAGATAAAAAAACATTCGAAGCCCTCCTCACGAGGGGTACTCATAATGTGGACTGTAGTAGTTTATGTTTTATATACCCCATATATATATGCTATTAATTACGTACTTGTACATTGCTAAACTTACCCATATATTCATTAATTACCGAATTGTAATAGAACCAAACCGAACCGAACTATGGTTAATTAACCCGAATCATTTTTAACCCGAAACCATTTGAATCGGATTAAAAATTGTTTACACTAAACCGTTTATAAACCGCAGCCCATTTGCACCAACCGTTTACTACTCAAACTGTTTACAAGCCAAATCGAATTAAAATCGCACAAAAATAAACCAAAACAAAATGAACCCATAATAATTTTAATCGAAGTGAAACTGACCCATAGTTCATTTGAACCGATTTCAAACCTAACCGAAACCAAATTGTCAATCTGTTTTAACAGTGCTAATTATACTCCAATATAAAGTATTCTTGTTCGATTCGTTGTTTATATATTGACACAAACTTAATCATTACTACTCTTAGTTCTCTATGTAGAATATAGGATGAGATCCATTACATCTCCGGCCGGTCCATATATGGATACAAACTTAAATATTACTACTCTATAGAGAATATATAGGATGAGAACCATTACCACTTCAATTTGTAATCTATGAAAATGAAATATAGTAAGAATTATTTTAAGATGATTTGAACTATAAATTAAAGACTTTATATTCAAAGACGAAAAAGTAACCTTACTTTAATAAAGTAATGAAACCATTATAAAGTATCACTATAAAATGTTGATCTAAAAGTACGTAAAGTGGGGTGAAATGTGGGTCATGATCAAACTCATGATAGAGATGCATGGTTGCGGTAATCTGGTAATATGGTGATAGAAGTTAAGAAGTGGACATTATATGCGAATAAGCTAGATGCTACTCCCTCCGTCCCCGAATGATAGTCAATTTTGAAGAAAAATCACGGGAATTAAGGAGAATTAAACAAATTACATTGAAAAAGTAAATTTACATTGGGTATGCAAAAAAGTAGAGAGAGAAAGTAATTAAAGTATATGGGAAAGTTAAATTTGCATGGGAAAATTAAGTTTGCACAAATATTTTTGCAAATGTTAGAGAATTTTAGGAGTTGTTTGGTTGACAACATAAAATGAGGGAAGTGGAAATTCATGGGATTTGAGAAATTGAGGAGTTGTTTGGTTGACACCAAAAGGCAAAAATGGGGGAAGTGGAAATTCATGGGAATTTCAACTTCCTACAAAACAAGGGAAGTAAATTACCTAACCCCCCCTAGGTCAATCAAAATTCATGGAATTTCTAAATTCTCACATTACCAACCAAACAAATTTAGAAAATTCCTAGGAATTTCATGAGGGAAATAACTTCCCATGAAATGTAATTTCCTATGGGAATTTAATTCCCATGTTAACCAAACAAGCCCTTAGTAAAAATAATAATATTAATGGTACTTGAAAAAGCAAATGTGACTAACATTTTAAGTCACTAAAAATGACAAAAGTAACTATCATTCGGGGAGGAGGGAGTAATAATTAATATGGTGAATATTGAATGATATCCATAAATTGTTGAACATAATAAGTTTGGTTTATAAAAAAAAAAAAAAAAAAAAAAAAAGGGGGAACATTTTACTAAAAACATGTGAGAATTTTGAGCTTTAAAAAGGAGAAATAAAAAAATATGTTAAGAGTTTTTATGTTTGAAAAAGAGGAATAATGAATCAATGCTAGAGGTGGAAAAAATTGACTTGATATAACAACCCATTTACATCTTTTTTACCAGAAATTGCTGACTGATAGTTAACTTCTTTATTTTGTCGTACATTAACCTCACGGCATATATACTTATGTCAATTCGCTCCATTTATGCGAATATGTAGTCCTGTAAAAGTAATGTTTGATTAATTGGCAGCCCTATATTCGATCGATATCATATTAGCCTATTAGGTGATCATTATTTAAGAGAATTTTTTTCGTTCAACAAAGACATACATACCTAAGGCCTTGAATTAAGAGCTTTAGACGATCCAAATTTTGAGAGTGTCAATTTTTCCCAAAAACACTTTCAGGTTGATTGTAATCGGGGTCTGTTTTTTTTTTGCTCATCATTGGTAAGTTTTCTTCATACTTATTTTGTCATATGATAATGATAGATTCATATCTCCTATGATTAAAAAAATATCATCGGATTTGAAGCAATCATGCAATATTCGTTCTTTCCATGCATATTTAAGTTTGCACATCCTAGTCCTATTAAAATTTTAATATGAAATAATTAATTTTACAAATTGCGTTTATAATTATGAAACTACTTAGGCCTTGGATAGAGTCGAGCAGATTTCAGCATAAGAGAGTAGAGCAACTATAAAAAACAAGGCCTTACTTAGTTCACCGTCCTTAATTAATTTTGTATATATGGAACGGAGAAAGTAACTTAAAATCCATAGGATAGTGGAGTAGTAAGATACCATGCAAGACCCACCATGCAAATATATTAATGTTTTTTTTTTTTTTTTTTTTTGAATCGCAGATATATGGAAGTACAAATAGAAAGAAGCCAATCGTTTGCCATAACAAAGCTATATCATGCAACTTTTGAGGGAGACGTGCAATCCTTGATAAAATTGCTCGAAGAAGATCGACTTATCCTCAAACGATGCATCAATCAAAGATCGAAACACTTGATGAAGTCGCCGTTACATGTAGCAGCTGAAATGGGGCATTTAGAGATTGTCAAAACCTTGCTCGTGGCAAGTCCTAACATGTGTTTTGTGCGCGATCAAGATGGGATGACCCCGATTCATGTTGCTGTGGTACATAATAACATCGATGTGCTTGAAATGCTTTATAATGCGAATCCTCACGTAGTTCGTGAACGAACCAATGGAGGTGAATTTGTGTTACATTTGTGCATCAAGCATAATAAAGAGGATTCTTTGAAGGTTTTGTTGAGTTTAATTGATGACGAATTACTCAACTCTAAGGATAGTGATGGGAATACTGCCTTGCATCTTGCAGTGATCGGTAATCAAAGTAAGGTACGATGAAACCGTCTTTTTTTTCCAGATGATTCTGATGTAGTCTTATAACTTATGACTATCACAATGTTTTTGGACAGTTGAGATTATTTGTTTTCTTGATTATTTTTAATTAGTAATTTAAATTAAAAATAATTTTTTATTGTTTAAATATATTTTTATCTTCTAGAAATTATTTTTATTTTCAAAATTCTAGAAATAAAAATAATTCAAAATAAAATTTTAATTAAAATTATAAATAAAAAAAATAAATAATCTCAGCAATCCATTTTTAAAAATTATTGTAGTTAAAAGTCATAAGACAACATTAGAATTTTCACTTTTTTTTTAATTGGATGGGATATAATTAACACAAACTTACCAATATATGGTTTCAAAAAAAAAAAGAAAAATTACTTCTAATACACCAACCTTTGTCCGATTCTCTCAAAATACACCAACCTTTGATTATTCTAGAATAAACCAACCTTTATACCCCTTCTTCCCAAAATGAACCTAGCAGGTCACCCATCCGGTACAACCGGTTACATGTGCTACGTGGCACTTCATGATTCGTTTTTTGCTTTTTTTTTTTAAAATTTTTTTTTATTTACCTTTTTATAAAAATCAGCCATCACCTTCTTTCTCTCTCTCTTCCCCCATTACCACCTAAGCACCATAGTCACCACTCAGCAGAACCACTAGCCACCACCATCCTTCTTTCTCTCTCCTTCCCCTTCCCCTTCTATGGCCTTCCTCCATTACCAGGCCACTTCACCTCCCCTTTAACTTACCCACCAACAACAACACCTCTAGCCACCACCACCAACACCTTCAGCCACCACGAACCTCCAACCACCACCAAACACACCTCCAACCACCACGTCTATCTAGCCACCATGAATCTTTAGCCACCACCTCCATAACAACTAACTAACTAAGCACAAACCTCACAACCCATGCCGTTTAAAAACCACCCCTTCCACCACCTAGGCATGCGTTTGCCTCCCCATCCTCACCACCACAAACCTTAAAACCCCACATAACCACCGCCCTTAGCTTCAATCTTGTTGCCACTGCTGTCCATATCTCCTCTCTACCCTCAATTTTTTTTTTTACAAAAAAAAAAAAAATTAGATCTAATGATGATTTCGAAGTGGTCGTTTTTTTTTAAAAAAAAAATTCTGAAATGGGGGCTGCTTTCATGTGGAGGAGGGCTTGTGTAGGGAGGGCGGTTAAGGGGGCTGGCTAGTTGGGTTAGGGGCGGTTTGGTGAAGGTGGTGGTGGGATGAGTGGTGACTTCAAAAGAAATAAGGGGAAGATAAAATGGAGGTGGAGCTTGGGGGTGGTGGTAATGGCTGAAGATGATGGAAAACGGTGGGAGGAAGGAAAGAGAAAGGGATGACCGGTTATTTAGGTAACCAGTCATTTGGGTTCATTTTGGGAAAAAGGGGTATAAAGGTTGGTTTATTCTAGAATAATCAAAAGGTTGGTGTATTTTGGGAGAAATGGGCAAAGGTTGGTGTATTAAAAGTAATTTTTCCAAAAAAAAAAAAAAAAACTTACCAATATATATATGCTTAATAAATACTTCGTATATATATACTTGACATGGTTGCAGATGGTAAAAATGTTGTTAGAACGCCCAAAGATTGAAGTAAACGCAATGAACAAAAATGAGATGACAGCTTTGGATTTACGTATATTCCTAAAATTAGAAAATAATTTCAAAGATGTGAGTAATTTTCTAGTTGAATGGCCTAATGATGAACAGATTGGACCGTCCCTAGAACTAGCCAACGCGTTACAGGCAAGACATGAACTAAAGATCAAAAACAGAATTAATTGGGTAGAAAATCAAAGCAACGCGCTAATGGTGGTGGCGTCTCTAATAGCAACCATGGCATTCTCAGTCGCAACGAATCCACCCGGAGGCTTTTGGCAAGACACTCAAAATGGTCATCATAAAGCAGGTCATTCTATTGAAGATGATTATGACCAATTTTGGTTTAATAATCTAGTGATTTGGAACACAATAGCATTGGTTTCGTCGTTAAGTGTAATACTTCTCCTTATTAGTGGTCTTCCCTATGGAAGAGTCTTTGTGGGAATTTTGAGGATAACCATGTGGATTGCGGTTACAGCAACAACCGCGACTTATGGAAAATCCTTGTTTTTAACCATTTATAGTGAAGCTCCAACAGCAAATACTACCTTATTTTGGGTAGGCGTGCTGGTGTTGATGCTCCTCGGACATGCCATTCTCTTCGCGGTCAAGTGTATCAATCGACGACCCAAATTAAGGGCAAGGATACTCAAATTGTTCAAACTATGGTTTGCATAACTTGTTTACCTTACACTAATGTATGGTAGTATTAAAAAAAACTACCACCTTTAATTTTTAGTTGCAACAAAGGAATATTTTATGTATCACAATACACAAATAATACCTTTCTTGCAACTAAAAAGTAACAGTGGTGGTATAATTAGGACTTGTTTGGTTGACAAACAAATTCATGGGAATTTAGAATTCCTAGGAAATGAATATATGCACACTTGCTTGGTTGCCAATAATGTAGGAATTGAAACTTCCTAGAAAGTTCTACTTCCCACAAAATAGAGGAATTCACTTACCTAGTCCCCCCTAGGTAAGTGGAACTTCCCATGGGAAGTAGAAATTCCTACATCCAACCAAACAAGTTTTGGGAATTCTTAGGAATTACAATTTCATAGGAATTGAGATTTCATGGGAAATTCTACTTCCTATATCAAACCAAACAAGCCCTTATTTTTTTATATGATCTCATTTACTCTGATTTGAACTTGATTGATTGGCATATTCTTCTCAAAGTACACCCAAATATACTTGATTTTTCATTTTCCATGTATGAATATTGTAGCACGTAATATGTATTATGTAATATGTTTATTGGAAAGATTGGCTTGGTTTTGTGGTTTGAATTCTTATCTTCTCAATAGAGAGTAAGACTTTGTTCTCCTCACTATAGTTTTAACTATTTTAGTTTAAGATTTAGATGAAGACCAAAAATAGAAAGTTCAAATACTTGAAAATATTAAGATAAGATAAAGATGTGAATTCAATCTAAATAAAACACGGATATTCTTCATGAAAAATCTAGATGTATCTGAATTTAACAATATCCAAAAAAATTAAATCCAATTGTTAGGGGTTTTACTAAAATAAAACTATTCACTTTATAATTAAAAACTCAATATGTCAAATATCCAAAATTATATAAGACGATAATTATACTTATTTAATTTACACAAAGTCTTATATGTGGCTGGCCACATCGTATGTCCAGCCACTATAAGGGTTACTTCACTAGTATAATGAGGGTTACTTGGTCAGTGCTAAAGGGGTTACTTCGTCATTGTTATAGAGTTACTCAGTCAGTGTTGTAGGGGTTACTCGGTCGGTATTACAGGGGTTACTTAATCAATATTATAGGGGTTACTTTTAGTGGTCACACGGTGTGGCCGGCCGCACACAAGACGAGCTGTTTAATTTATTGATTTACATAATATACATGTAAAAATATATGTCTAAAATGAAATATTTGTCGGAAAAGACCTTTAAGTGTCTGACTTTGAAAGAAATGGAGTTTAAATGTCATGCATGCGAGTTTAAATACACAACTCCTAAAATTATTGAAACGAGAACGACTAAGTTAAGACTTAAGAGGGCCATTTCTTTCAAGCATAGTTAAAAAGCCTATCAAATTGGCTTATTCATCAAGCTTAACCTACAACTATTGTCAGATTATTATCTTAGGCTAGTCATCTATCTATGTTTGTCAACTTTTGTCAAATCATATCATCTTTTGTTTAATCAGGAATATGCTTAATTACTAGCCACTTGTGCTAAACATCGTGGTAAAAGCAAGGCATCAAAAACAATATTTGTTTAATTGATGATTGGCAATTATATATTGCGAGTTTATTTGATGAGACTTCATTATTTCTCGTTTATACAAACACACTTGATTTTCATTGAAAACAAACACACATAATATTGGGGTTGTATGTTTTGCTGCTCGTCATCGGTGAGGTTTTTTTTTTTTTTTTTTTTTTGACAAAAGAGCTATCAAATAAATAAATAAAAGCAATATTACAACCTAATAGAGCTAAAAGAAGCAAAAACCAACCTAACACGAACTACTACCAAAACTAACTTGTGTAAAGATGCTAAGACAACACACCTAAACCTAACATCATAGAGCTCCTGACAATGAAGAAAGGAGGAAATATGAAGCGAACCAGAGTACCAGAAAAGATTCATAGCACCACAAATACTACAGAGCCTAGCCAACCAAGAAAATCATACCACATTCTCAATGTGGACCGAGAGATGCCGAATTAACCATAACATTCGAGATGGACAGAAAATACAGAATAACCTCAATGCAGAAAACCGGAAGTGGCACTGGCATTGGAAAATGAGTGCACCCTGTTGCTGAAGAAAAAACCCTTCATTCCACTCCTAGGGATCGAAAATCAAAGTCGCATCCTAGGAGTCTTGGAACAAACCCAAAAGAGTCATATACTTGAACGACTCTATCATGATAAACCATGCATTCCAATGCAGGTTCTCTTCCTGCAACTCTACCCACAAAGAGTGCAAGATAATGGAGGACTTTGCTAACCCCAAACACTAAAGATGGGGAGCCTCCTTCAAGATTTTGATTTACAGCGATGACTGACTTTGTCATCACCAAAACAAACAACAAAGGGATGATTGCAATTGTACGAATGCCTATATCATCCACAACCAAGCAACAAGGACTGCAAACAAACCACTTCTCTCAACACCACTCTCCCCCTGCAATCTCCAAATACAAGGGAACTCTTCCAACTGCATATGAAACTTGACCCCCTGGATAACCAAACAAGAAAAAATATCCATACTCCCGGAGAAGGAAACCCCATCACTTGATTGAGAACTCCCCTTCACCCGATAAACTTTAACTACCAGGGGAACAAAGACACACCCCGAAAAGGCAACCACACGAACCACCAACCCAACTAACAAGGGATTGCCTAACCTTACAACCCCTAAAACCGACCAACAAGGCTCCAAGAACAACGACCACACTTCATTAACCTCCATAACCAGAACAACCCTATGAACCTCTAACTCATCACCACGCAGAGAAAGAGAATTATTAAAAATCAACAACCAAAACATCAAAATACACAAGGACATCATAGATGAACTAAGACAAATAAATAACAACAAACTATTCACAACTAACCAAAGAAAAGAAAACAAACACACGAACATCAGGAAGAACGAAGCTAATACCATCAGGAAAAATAAACAAACTTGCAAGAGAACAGAGGAAAAGACAACGAATCAAACCTCACCGGCACCAACCCAACCCACACCGAGAACAATCGTCAACGACACCTCAAAGAACCCCTTCACTGAACCTAACCTTGGGTACACGAGGAAACCCTAACCTTAACTTTACCTTTACCGTCGGGAATTAATTAACAAAATTCCTTTCGACGGCGGCGTTAAGACTAGCCTTTGGTTCTTGATTTGTTGAAGCAAGCCACTAAGAACTTGACGATGAACCCAAATAATGGACGACCGAAGAGGAACCCCTGATCTTCACCAGCAGACCCAAAAAACTAAAATTAAATAGCAAAAAGGAAAGCTACGAAAGGGTGGGGCTCGCCGGCGACGGCTAGGCAAAACCCGCCAGTCGCCGGCGAGCAAAAGCTACAAAAAAGGAGGACGGTGGAGGATAGAGATGAGGGTTAGAGAGAGAAAGAGTCGAAAGATAAGACCGAAATCGCATTAAACTATCATTGAGTTATTTACTACAAAGTAAGGAGTATTATTTTTATGGATTTGTAATACAATCAATTTTATGCCTTAATAATTAAATTAACGTATGTTTTATTTGATTTATTTTGTTTGGTTTATATTACTTTAACTTAATTGTCTGGTACTCCGTATGAAAAAGGTTACACTTCGTATGATTTAAAAAGTTTATTTTCACAGATATTCTATGTGAAATAAGTTAATTTAATCTAAAAATCAGAAAATCAATTGAAATGATGAGTTCTACACTCACTCAATGACTTCCAAGAATATAGTTAGCTTATACGATGCAAAATTCTCCGTTTAGTGTATTAGGTTGTTATTACTAATCCATTTAGATTTCTGTGTAACCACATATCATTTACATATATTGTTAGTGTTGAAGTTCATCAGTTGAACTTTGATTTGGAGAAATTCTCCAGAAAATTAGAGAGGAAAATAAAACTTGAGGAAGAAGATAGAAGTTTATTATTATTGAATTATTAGAATTACAGCAGAAGAAAAGCTTTTATACTAGAGTTAGTTACAGACTCTAACAAACTCTAACAACTTTTCTAACAAACTGAAAGCTGAGCTGTAATACTGATTGCTGAGGTGTAAGGCTATTGCTGCTGTAGCTTCATTGTGCTGAGCTGGCTGCTGATTCAAGCTATATGTTCCAACACCCCCCTCAAACTTGGCAGGGGAGAGAAAAACATGCCAAGTTTGTATAACAAATCCTGCTGTTGAGAAACAGGCAATTGCTTAGTAAAGACATCAGCAAGTTGTTGTCCTGTAGGAAGATAACAAAGCTCAATTAAACCCTCTAGGACCTTGTCTCTGGTAAAATGGCAGTCCACCTCAATGTGTTTAGTTCTTTCGTGGAAGACTGGGTTTTTAGCTATGTGAATAGCAGATTGACTGTCACAATACAGCTTTACAGGCTTCAAGTCAAATAAACCCATTTCAGTGAGAAGTCTGACCAACCAATCAACCTCCCCTGAAGCATGAGACATAGCTCTGTATTCAGCCTCTGCTGAACTCTTAGAAGTAGTACTTTGCTTCTTGGATTTCCAAGAAATAGGAGAGTTACCTAGAAGGAGTACATAACCAGTGACAGACTTCCTTGTGAAAGGGCATGCTGCCCAATCTGAGTCACAAAAAGCTCTTAGAGTTAGCTGGTCTGTAGCTTGAAGCAAAATACCTTGACCAACTGTACTAGCAACATATCTCAATGTATGATGAAGAGAATGAACATGAGGAAGTCTTGGAGAGTGCATAAACTGACTCAAGGATTGAACAACAAAAGCAAGATCAGGTCTTGTATTTGTGAGAAAGTTTAGTTTCCCAACATAACATCTATATAGAGCGGGATTGTCATACAAATCACCTTGATCAGAATAAAGCTTCAAAACAGAAGGAAATGGAGCACTAGCAGGTTTAGAAAGATCAAACTCACAATCCTGCAGAAGTTCTTTTGTAAATTTATTTTGAGTTAACACATAACCATTGTCACATTTGCAAACCTCAATGCCAAGGAAATAATTCAGCTCTCCCAAATCCTTGATGCTGAATATCTTGTGCAAGTGAGTCTTTAAATCAGAAATTGATTGTTCATTAGATCTTGTGATGATAATATCATCAACATAAACAGCAACCAAAACAATATCATCTGCATCTTTCTTCAGAAAAAGAGAATAATCATTCTTTGATTGAGAAAACCCTTGAAACTGCAATTCTTCCACCAATCTGGCAAACCATTGCCTAGGTGCCTGCTTAAGGCCATATAAGGATTTTTTAAGCCTGCAAACATGTCCTGCAGGAGCAGAAACTCCTTCTGGTATCTTCATATAAACTTCTTCATGAAGAGTGCCATGTAGAAAGGCATTATTGATATCTAGCTGAAACAATTTCCAATTGTTCTGTGCAGCCAAAGAGATTAAACACCTAATATTTGCCATTTTAACAATAGGAGAAAAAGTTTCTTCATAATCAACCCCATATTTTTGGGTGAAACCCTTTGCAACAAGCCTGGCTTTGTATCTTTCAATACTACCATCAGCATTCTTCTTGATTCTGTACACCTATTTGCAGCCTATAGCTTTCTTCCCTGTAGGTAACATAACAATATCCCAAGTGTTGTTCTTATCAAGAGAAGAAAGTTTTTTGTTCATAGCTTCCACCCAATTAGGATCAGTAGTTGCCTCTTTATAACAACTTGGTTCAACAAGAGATTGATGAGCTGTAAGTTCCAATTGTTTCTTCTCAGGAAGAGAATCAAAAGAAACAAGATTGCACCAATGATCAGTTGCAGCAAGACAGTAATCAGAAAAATGAGCTGGTGGTTTACTAATTCTAGAAGACTGTCTGAGAAGATTTTCAACTGGAATTTCTAAAGTGTTTGGTAAAATAGTAGTAGAAATAGAATCTGAAGGATTTTGTTGAGAATTGAAAGAATCAGAAGAAGAAATAGGAACAAGATCAGCAAGTGTGCTGTTAGTAGAAAATATATCAGGAATATCTATTGGATTTTGAGAAATAGGAGTGTTTACAGGAAGAAAGAATTTATTGGCATAATTTTTGTGTGGAGAGGAAGAGAAATGGAAAGGAAAATGTTTTTCATAAAAAATAACATCCCTTGATATGAGGACTTTGTTTGTGGCTAGGTTTAGAACTTTATAGGCCTTTTGATTTGGAGGATATCCTAGAAAAACACAAGGAGCAGCTCTAGGATCAAGCTTAGTTCTATGAACTTTAGATGTGGATACATAACAAAGACAACCGAAAACTTTCAAATGTGAAAGTGTTGGAGCAGAACGATATAGTCTCTCATAGGGTGTGAAGGAATCAACAGATTTTAGTGGCATTCTGTTAATCAAATAAGCAACTGCCATTATGCAATCACCCCAAAAACGAGCTGGAACTTTTGACTGAAAATATAAAGCTCTACCAGTTTCTAAAAGGTGCTTGTGTTTTCTTTCAACCACCCCATTTTGTTGGGGTGTGTCACTGTAAGACTTTTGCTGTAAAATGCCATGCTACAAAAACAACTGTTTCATGCTGCCTTCTGTAAGATCAGGAGCATTGTCTGATCTTACAGTCAAAACTTTGGAAGAAAATTGAGTATTCACATAAGTGAGAAACTGACTCATAATAGAAACATAATCACTTTTATTTTTCATGAAATGAACCCAAGTCATTCTTGAAAAATCATCTACAATGGTGAGAAATTGGTTACAACCAGTGTGTGTAACATGAGTGTATGGTCCCCATACATCTATATGAACAAGCTCAAAGGGCTTACAAGTCTTTATTGAGCTAGTACAAAAAGAAAATCTAGATTGTTTGGATAGAGGACATATTTGACACAAATTCTCTACCAGACAACTATGTACATCAGTGCCTTTTATTGTCTTAACTTTGTCAAAAGACATATGACCTAAATGAAGATGCCAAATTTTAGCTTCCTCAACTGCAGTCAGACTATAATTCTCAAGTTTAGTAGCATTAGTTCCACTCAAATGTTCTTCTGTGAGACTGTATAATCCTCTGTCCAATTTACCAAGCACTATTGGACTGATCAAAGAAGGGCCCTGAAGTAAGCATGTATCATTAGTAAATGATACAGATCCTGAAATGTCTTTACATAACTTTGATATAGAAATCAAGTTAAATTGAAAACCAGGAACATGCAGGACATTTTTAAGAGTAATGCCTGATTTGAGTAAAATAGTTCATGTACTCTCAACTTTTAATTTCTTTCCATCAGGTATTGTTATAAATCTCTCACAATCAATCTTTGAATATGAATTAAATACTGAAATATCAGCACACATATGATTAGAAGCTCCACTGTCTAAGATCCATTTAGGAATTAAAGAAGAAATTAGACAGAAGTTACCTGCCAAGTGATAAGTTGCTGCTAAGCCAAGGGAACTTGAACCTCCAGAGAGTCCACCTTGCTCAGCAGACTGTTGCTTCTCAAGATACTGCAGAATTTGTTTATGTTGATCTTGTGTACTGACAAATTGACAAGATCTGCTGACTCAGAAAAATTAGCTTCATATAGCTGAGCTGATGCTGCAACTCTTTTCCCTTTGTTTTTGAAATCAGATGGATATCCATGCAGCTTGAAACACTTATCTCTGGTGTGATTTCTCATTTTGCAATAATCACAATATAGATTGTTTCTTGTGTAAACAAAATTTCTTGTGTTTGAATCTCCTGAGCTAGAATCAGTTGATTGTCCTGCTCCTCCTTGAGAATAAGAAAATCTGTTGTTGTTGAATTGATTCTTACTGTCATTGAATTTCTTAGCATAGAATGTTGCTGATTCTGAGGTTTGCTTACTCAAGTTCATATGAGTTTGCTCTTGGAGCAACAAACTGTATGCCTTAGATACAGTTGGAAGAGGATTCATCATAAGAATAGTACTCTTTCTATGAGAGTATTTGTCATGAACTTTCATCAGAAAGTGAATAAGCCTCTGATTTTGCTGAGACTTAAGCAATTGTTGTGTCAAATTGCAATTACAACCAGTACATACACAAACAGGGAATGGATCTAATCCATCTAATTGATCCCACAGTTGCTTAATTCTAGTGTAAAATTCAGGAATACCTTCAGAATGACTCTGAAAAATGTCTACTATCTGCTATTGTACTGAAAACAACTGAGGTCCAGAAGATTGACTGAATCTCTCCTCTAAATCCTGCCAAATCAACCTTTCTGTCTTCAAGTAAAGAACACTTCGAGAAATCGAAGGATCAAGTGAGTTCAGAATCCAGGAAATCACCAAATTATTGACTCTAACCCAGATTTTGAAGTTTGGAGAATTATTTGAAGGTTGATTCAAACCTCCATCAACAAAACTCAATTTGTTTCTAGCTGATAATGCAATGATCATAGATCGCTTCCACTCATTGAAACTGCTTCCGTCAAACACAATATTGACCAGTTTTGAAATTGACAAATATGAATTGCTCAAATAATAGACTGAATTTGGATTCTGTGTAGGATCGTTTTCCACATTTGCATCTGAATTTACAGAATTATTTCCAGAATTTCGTGGCGCCATTGTTGAAGTAAATTGATCAGAAAATCAAGAAAATATCAATTGAGAATCCGAAGACAAATTCAGAAAGAAGAAGAACAAAGGAATTTGAAGAAGATAATGCGGAATTTTGGATAAAAAACGAGCAGAATTATGCTCTGATACCATGTTGAAGTTCATCAGTTGAACTTTGATTTGGAGAAATTCTCCAGAAAATTAGAGAGGAAAATAAAACTTGAGGAAGAAGATAGAAGTTTATTATTATTGAATGATTAGAATTACAGCAGAAGAAAAGCTTTTATACTAGAGTTAGTTACAGACTCTAACAAACTCTAACAACTTTTCTAACAAACTGAAAGCTGAGCTGTAATACTGATTGCTGAGGTGTAAGGCTATTGCTGCTGTAGCTTCATTGTGCTGAGCTGGCTGCTGATTCAAGCTATATGTTCCAACACCCCCCTCAAACTTGGCAGGGGAGAGAGAGAAAGAGTCGAAAGATAAGACCGAAATCGCATTAAACTATCATTGAGTTATTTACTACAAAGTAAGGAGTATTATTTTTATGGATTTGTAATACGATCAATTTTATGCCTTAATAATTAAATTAACGTATGTTTTATTTGATTTATTTTGTTTGGTTTATATTACTTTAACTTAATTGTTTGGTACTCCGTATGAAAAAGGTTACACTTCGTATGATTTAAAAAGTTTATTTTCACAGATATTCTATGTGAAATAAGTTAATTTAATCTAAAAATCAGAAAATCAATTGAAATGATGAGTTCTACACTCACTCAATGACTTCCAAGAATATAGTTAGCTTATACGATGCAAAATTCTCCGTTTAGTGTATTAGGTTGTTATTACTAATCCATTTAGATTTCTGTGTAACCACATATCATTTACATATATTGTTAGTGTTGAAGTTCATCAGTTGAACTTTGATTTGGAGAAATTCTCCAGAAAATTAGAGAGGAAAATAAAACTTGAGGAAGAAGATAGAAGTTTATTATTATTGAATTATTAGAATTACAGCAGAAGAAAAGCTTTTATACTAGAGTTAGTTACAGACTCTAACAAACTCTAACAACTTTTCTAACAAACTGAAAGCTGAGCTGTAATACTGATTGCTGAGGTGTAAGGCTATTGCTGCTGTAGCTTCATTGTGCTGAGCTGGCTGCTGATTCAAGCTATATGTTCCAACAGTTAGTCTTGATTTAATTGCTCTACTAATCCATCATCATTGTTAAGTTTATGCTTTATGTACGTTGGTAGTCTTGATTTAATTCTACTAACACTATAATAGGTGAAACATAGCGTGGATGTCATTAGTAGTGACCATCCGCCACATATCATTTACGTCATCAGTAAAAATATAATTAAATTAACAAAATGGAATCTACTATAATAGGTTAATTTCAACGAAATAAGTTAAGATGAGCAAAAATTTATTTAAGTTCAATATAAATAAGATGATGAAAACAAAATTTAAGTCATTTGTCAATTTGCCTTTACTCCTTTTCCTTTTAAAATATAATTCCCTCCCTTTATTTATTTATTTATTTATTTATTTTTATCATTGTCATATCGGTTTTTTAACCATATAACCTTAAGTTTTTGTTCATTTACCATATACTCCTAAAATTTTTCAAATTCACCATATACCCGTGAGTTGTTACAAAAATTTACCATATATCCTTAATGACAACAAGATGAGTGAAACTTGATCAATTATGATCAAAACTACTTTAGGATTCCCCCCCTCCCTGAAATCACTCCGCTTCTTCCTCCAACCCTCGAAACCACTCAAAATCTCCATAACCATATTCGTATGATTGATTTTGAAGATAAGAAAAGGAAATTTGGGGTGGTTTCAAGGATAGGAGAATGTATTTAGGGTGGTTTAGG